AATGATGACTCAATATACCTATTCATCAACTTATGTTTGGTGAATAAACAGATCAGGATTTGGACATTGTTGAAACTTCCCATTTACGCATGCATACTACATTTAAATATTTGTAATACCTTTCAAACATTTTAGTATCTAATTTTTTCCAAGAAATATGCAGTTATAAAACCCCACAAACCAGCATTAGATGTCAACTATGATTACAATGCCAAATATTAGAGATGTTAATAAATCTCATGATTACCTGTCTTTACAATCCACCCAGATTTAGTAGTTCTAAATAGTTTAGCACCAATATCTGAAAAATTAAAATTTGAACATTATTTCCTTATCTGAAAGGGGGGAAAAAAAAGATACTCCAGTAATTAAGCAATAGCATAAATCTAGACATATCTACAACAGAACCGATTTTTTTTTTATTCTGTCTAATGTACAAATATTCAGTAATGATCCATGTACAAAGCTAGACAATAAATCCAAACCCTGAATATTAAAATGGTATAAAATACCAACCGGTTGTTAGGTAAGACACATATGCAACAGTTAAGTATCTTTATTTCACAATATTTCACCTACACAGTAGGCTTCTTCAGTCGAGTACAGAAAAGCTGGTAGAAGCTGAGGGACTGACCACCTCAAAACTACATCTTCAAGGGTAATGGACTGATTACATCATCTTCACATCTCTTTTGCTTCTACCAACTTTTCTGCACTCAACTGAAGAAGCCTACTGAGTAGGCAAAATGTTTCGAAATAAAGATACAGTGGAGCCTCAAAAATCGAACTTAATCCGTTCCAGGAGCTAGTTCTAAATTTGAAAAGTCTGAAATTCAAAGCAATATTTCCCATAAGAAATAATGGAAATACAATTAATCCGTTCCAGAAACCCAAAAATATTCACACAAAAAATACATTTTATAGAGACTAATTACAGTTTTACATACAACACATACTATAGTTTTTATGTATAGTAATACATATAAAATAACATTTTTATTTACCTTTATTGAAGATTGGTGATGGCATCTGGAAGATAGGGAGGAGGAGAGAGGGAGTTGGGGTTAGTGCTTGGAAGGAGAATCCCCCCTCCATGAGGACTTCAAGTAAAGCCCTCTCTGGGGTTACTTCCCTTCTCTGTCTTTTAATGCCACTAGGACCAGCTTGAGAGTCACTGGACCCCTGTCTCACAAAATAACTGTCCACAGTCCTCTGTTTCTGGCACCTCTTTAACATTTCCCTAAAATGGGACATGGTTCTGTCACTGAACTTGTTGCAAAGATGGCTTGTTTCAGCTTGCTCAGGGTGGTACTTCTGCACAAACATTTGGACATCATTCCACTTGGCACAAATCTCCTTAACCCTTTGGCTGTTTCTGACGTATAAATACGTCTTATGAGCCAATGTTTCTGACGTATTTATACGCACAAATTCTAGCGGCTTCAAATCAAGCGCCAAAGGCCTGGTAGGCCTACACGAGAGAGAATGGGTCTCAGTGGTCAGTGTGCACCCTGTGAAAAAAATCTGGGACCCAGCGGTGCATTGTGGGAACGCCATGTTGTTAGTCCATTTTCACCATGCCTCTCGGTAAGAAGTTCCTCACTCCTCGGCGGATTGGAGGTCTTTTGTTCCCAAGTGATAGCTCTAACAGCGTTTGAAAATGTCAGGGGACAGTGAATTCCAGGTTTTGAAGTGAGTGTTACCGGAAAAAAGTGGCCCAGGATAACGTAATTAGTGATGAAAACCCAGATGACCAACAACCTTCCACCTCTGGTGCTGTGCCGGCTTGTTCACGTTCACGTTCGCCTGTACCAGGACGAAAGAGGAAACTATTTGGTCGTGTACAACACCCAGATGATAGCATTTGAAGTGATAGTGATTTCAAGGTCATTGAAAGCAGTTTAGTGAGAGTGAATATTCCCAGTGAAGCGGCAGTATGTACGACGTAGCATGCGGTCTGGTAGTGTTTCATATGTTTTTCCAAGGGAAGGAGAAACTCTGGGAGCACATCCCGTGGCCCTACCCCACGCCCTTTGATAGTGAAGATGGCGATATTGTAACGATGGGTATGAATGGTGACAGTGGGGAGGGGGCAGTGGTGGTGATAGTGAGGGTGGCACGGTCCATGTGGCACCATCAGCGGGCCAGCTACTACTTACGCTGCTGACGCAGCACAACAACCAGCCCACCCTCCCCCCACACTCCCACAACCTGCAAAAACCAAAACCCCACGGTACAATATCCAGCCCCCCACCAGCAGACCACATCTGGGTTTGGGCCCAGGCCCGGTGACGAGTTTGTTCCCAGTCCCCATGACTTTGATGAAACACAAAGTGGAATAAAGGGCCATCTTGTCCACTTGGGAACAATGCCAGTGAACGGGAAACTGCTTTGAGTTATTCTTCGATGAACCCTGATGGACATCTTTGTCAGGGAAACAAACAAAATACTGTGTTTAAACCCCATGGCAATACAATTATCTCACCAAAATCACGGTACACAAGTGGAAGGAGACAACTGTGGCAGAGATGTACCTGTTTTTTGCCACAATAATGCTTATGCCACATGTGTAAAAAGCACACTGTCACCACATACTGGGCACAGAACGCCTGATTTCAACTCCAGGTTTTAGTGACATTATAGGTGTCAATCGTTTCCTGATACTGTTACGTATGTTACACTTTTCAGACAAAACCAGGCCTGACAGAAGCGACAGGTTATATAAGATCAGAAATGTGTTTATGTACCTGAAACAAAAGTGCTGCATGTATTTTTATCCCTTCAGGAAGCTTGTTATTGATGAGTCCTTGATTTTATTCAAAGGAAGACTCTCATTCAAGCAATATATACCAAGCAAGAGGAAACGCTTTGGTATAAAGCTATTTGTACTGTGTGATTGCAGAAGTGGTCTAGTTTTGGATATCATTGTGTACACTGGCAGTAATACTTTGAGAGATACCATGAAGTTATTGGGTATCTCTGGTGATGTGGTTCGAACAATGATGGAACCATATCTTGGTAAGGGGCATATGTTATTTACTGATAACTGGTACACAAGCCCCTTACTCAGTGATTTCTTGCGAGTGGCACAGTGCGTGGTAATCGTAAACATATGCCAAGGTTCAATGCTGGCACTCGCAGAGGTGAGGTGCAAGCCTTTGCTGCCAATGACATCATGGCATTTCGGTGGCATGACAAACGTGATGTCACATTGTTGACAACAGTTCACAGAAACGAAAAGGTACCCAGTGGCAGGGACAACAGAGAGACCAATGAACCCATTCTAAAGCCTGCAGTGTCATGGACTACAACCTCAATATGCACTTAGTGGACAAATGTGACATGCAGATTGGATTTGCAGACTGTGTACGCAAGAGTTATAAGTGGTATATAAAACTTTTTTTCCATCTTGTTGATATCTCTATGCTAAATGCTTATAACATATACAAGTTGAGACCAACAAAACACCAAAATATGGTGAATTTTGCCTGTCAGTAATCAGACAAATAAAATTGCAAAGTACCAAGGAGCAACTCCTGAAATAGACCAGCGCCCCACAGACATCATCTCGTTTGAGGCCTGGTACCACTACCCCATACAACGCCTCCTACTACTGCCCAAAAAAATGCTCAGAGAGGTGTTATGTATGTATGCATACCACAAAACGCCCACAAACACGCAGACACTCGTTTTATGTGTGAGGAGTGTGAAGTGCCCCCTGCATATCCCCCATGTTTCAAAGAGTTCCACAACTGCAGCAGTTCTGGGAACGTTTAGTGACTGTACATATTATTAATTGGAAAAACAGAAATAAACATTTTTTTTGTTTTTTTGTTTGTGAAAAACAAATGTATACACAAACAAAAGTGAAAAATTTTGTTCTGTTAGGGGTTTGTAAAACAATGATGTATATTTGAACAATGCACCTTACTTTGGGTCTCACAGGCCCATAAGTTACCTGGAACAGAAAAACATTTAAAAATGCAAGAAACCTTTTTAATAGGTAAATAAAAGAATACCGGTGGGCGGCGGCGCCGTGTTGCGTCGCCGTCCTTTCGCAAACTTTGCGGCTTATATCCGGTAAGTATATGCAAAAATTTTTTTTAGGGTTAAAAACATACAAAAAAAAATTTCCTAAATTTTTTTTTATAAAAAAAATAATTTTTTTTTTCGTATTTGGCACTAGAATACAGTTTTAGGAGGGGGCCGAAACATCAAAGGGTTAATTTGAAGAAGGGGACCTCATCCACTCCCTTTCTCCTCCTCTGAAGCAAATTTCCCCAGCTTGGGCTGATACTGCTCCAGATGAAGCTCTTGCGCTTTCATGGTTGCTCTCCCTGTGGTCTCCACCAATTTTTCCACATCCTCACCCTCACCCCCAACCCAGGGTGTTCCCCAATGCCAAAATAGAGTCCACAACAGCAGAGGGTGGGGGTGGGGTCGGGTCAGGATCAGGGTCACTAAAACCCCTTAAAAACCCTTTTTTGGGAACAATCGGCCACAATTGTCTCCAAGCAGGTTAAAAGTCCGGGAAAGTCACTCCTCCCAAGCCTACTATAAGGGCTTATGGAGCTGTAGATGTTGAAGTGATTCCTCCAGAACTCTCTTAGGGTCAACTTGTGTCTGTGGTCATTTCAAAGCATTTTTTCAAACACTGCTTTTGTGTAGAGTTTTTTGAAGTTAGAAATGACTTGCTGGTCCATGGGCTGGAGGAGAGGCGTGGTGTTAGGAGGCAAGAACTTCACTTTTATGAAACTGAAGTCCTTAGACAAGAGGTCTAATAATTTTTGGAGGATGAGCAGGAGCATTGTCCTTTAAACAGGAGGCACTTGAGTGGCAATTTCTTTTCCTGGAGGTATTTTTTCACACTGGGGCCAATCACTTCATAGACCCACTCTTTGAAAATTTGTCTTGTGACCCATGCCTTATGATTAGCTTTCCACAAGACACATAACTTGTTTAAAGACATTGTTTTTTTTAAAACACTCGGGGATTTTCGGGAATGATACACAAGTAAAGGCTTCACTTTAAAATCACCACTAGCATTAGCACAGAACAAAAGAGTAAGCCTGTCTTTCATAGGCTTGTGACCTGGCAGTGCCTTTTTCTCCTGTGTGATGAAGGTCCTTTTTGGCATTTTCTTCCAAAACAAGCCTGTTTCGTCACAATTAAACACTTGTTCAGGTTTGAATTCTTCACTGTCTATGTAGCCCTTAAACTCCTGTAGAAACTTCTCAGCTGCCCGTTTGTCTGAACTGGCTGCCTCACCATGTCTTACAACATTGTGTATGCCACTACACTTCTTAAATCTGCCAAACCAGCCTCTGCTGGCCTTAAATTCACTATCAGCACTGGTTCCAGGAGTTTTCTGTACCAGATCAGCATACCACTTCCTTGCCTTTTCGCAAATAATCGTCTCTGAAACACTATCACCTGCAATCTCTTTATCCTTGATCCACACCAGCAACAACAACTCAACCTCTTCAACTATTTGTGGTCTTTTTTTGGTTAGCATATTAACACCTTTCACAACATCAACTTCCTTGATTTGTTCTTTCTTTGCCAGGATAGAACCGATGGTCGACTTGCTTTTCCCATACATCCTGGCAAGCTCAACAAGTCTCACACCACTCTCATACTTCTGTATTATTTCCTACTTCACATCTATGGTGTTTCTCACTTTCTTTACCACAGGGGTACCACTAGCAAGTTTCTTTGGGCCCATGGTAGCTTATTTCACAGTCCCACAAACACTAAACACAACGAAATAATCGTAAAATGCGTGAATGAGAGCGCAGGTTAGTGTTCACTCAAGCATAAACAAAGCTAGACTGCTCACGGCGCCTGCGCGGGGACACGGACAGAGCGGGCTGGCAGACAGGTCCCGTACCTGGCGGTCCAAAAATAGGGGCGCGTTCGATAATAGGGACACAGTTTGTCCGAAAAAATGGTCCTATTTTCGAAATGTTCAATATGTGATACGTTCAATTTCTGAGGTTCCACTGTACCTAACTGTTGCATATGTATCTTGCCTAACAAATCCAAACACCTTTTCAAGCTTCAATGGAAATGCAGTTCCTTGGTATCAGTAACATTGATTTTTGTAACATGACTTGAAAAAAATCTTTACACAATACAACAGTTCCCTGACTTACAATGAGGAAGGCACTCCTCTTACTACTGCCCATGTTCTGTTGTCAGATATGAAAGAAGAGAGGGAAGAAGGAGAGAAAGAGCTAGATTCATCTGAGTACTGTACTATATTTTTTCACTTCATTATTTAAAAAATACATGAAATTACATACAGAATATCATGACTCAAAAACTTATCTCTGATAACATAGGTGTCTATGGGAAAAAAACAGGCTCTGATTTCCAAACACTTCAACGTTGAAATATCCTCAGTAATGCAAAATATCCTAAGTTGGGACCCTACTTGATCCATTATCCTGAAGCTATGCCATCCACCTCTCCATCTGCATTTTAGAATCAATAAAAGATCCTACACACAACCACTCTTACTACACAATTCTATGTCAAAATTCTCCCTGTGCACACTTCTTTTTTGTATTATCTCATCTCTACACAAATTGGAATATCTTCCGTACATTCCCATAACAGCTCATATTTACAAAATTTAAAACTATGTATAATTATACAATTAATTCAATTAAGCAAAATCCTTAAAGGATAGTATTGTTTGGATACATGTGTATGAATGAGTGTAATTATTTGCACATAGGAATCAATTATTAAATTCACAAAAATGCACCAAGATCACACATTCATGCTATTCATACTGCTACAGTATTAGCATATCAACACCTAGAATGATGCAGATCAAAGACCTTAATTCCTTCACAGCCTCTCCTAACACTGGTGTTAACTCCCAATACTAATGAAGAAGTATAGGCTATAAGTTTAATAATAAAGTCAGTTCAAGTGATAATACATGCTACACAACATTCATCTATTTAACACCTCTCTAACATGAGTAGTTACTTAGCAATCAGCAAAAACACAAACCTACCTCCCATACTAAAAAAACTGTTAAACAATTCCCTTTAGTGTGAAGAGTTTTGTATTATCCATTAATGGAACGCAAATCTACTTACCCATCAACTGCATCGCAACAAATAATGATTTAGTATTTCTTTTAAATTACAATTATTCCCAATGAGTGCTAAACTAATTGAGCACTAACAGTATACTCTTTATTAAAATTTCAATGTTTTAAACCAATTTTAAATCATCTTTTTTTAAATTTCAATGTCTTAAACTAATTTCAAATCAGAAAAAATGGTAATACTTGAGACTGAAACATTTTCCCTGAATAAGTTTGTTTCTCAAAGGAAAACTATATATACTCAGCCCTCACACACTGCAGGTTCTTCTAATACTCATTCACTATGAGTTTCTCATTTTCTGACTACTGAAAACACTGACGATGGCTGTGGTTTGCACGTGCAGCTGAACAGTTTCGTCAGGCTGCAACTATTTATATGGCCTTTAATGCTATATATTTATAGAGCCTTATTACTGTTGATTTACTGGTTTGTTCACCAGTGCCAATGGCCCTAATGTGGTGGTGTAGCCAAGATCAAATACTGTCATGCTGTGCTGGAGACAATGATCTCTAAGAACACAGATGTGAGGGTGAAGTAGCTACTGGCCTATGGCCATCCAGAGCAACCATTAGACTCAATAATCAGAGTTGCATAATTTTAAGAATGAAAAATGTTATTTATAGACATAATTCCACAAATATATTCACACAAAATCTTTGGTATTCATGACACTGGTACTTACATAACTCGACTATTAATAGATGATTCAGCAAATATTCTCCACTAATGGCGGGTCATGTGTGGGGTCTCAAAAGACAGGCACTGCACCAAAATCAAAGCAAAAATATATGCTGTACCGTTATATAAACATGGATTCACCTAACATGGATTCCTATTATACAGCCTTTCTTCAGAATGCATCCCCCACATATGGGAAGGGCTAAGTATATACAGTACTGAACAAACATAAACTAGAAAAATTTAATATACCTCTAAATGTTTCCAAATACTTCTCAGCCACATTAAAAAATATATGAAAGTTATTTGAAAAAAAAAAATTATTATTTGAACAAATGCCTATATCAAAACCAAAAGATAATGCAGAACCAGTGTTTCATATATGGAAAAGTTCAAATTTAAAACAAAATAAATTTGAGCAAGATTTGCACATGTTGCTAAGGCCAGGTTGGTAAATGGAACTGAAACTTAGACTCTGGAGCTTCCTTGTCTTCATCAATTTACAAAGACACTTTCAACTAAAAAACAAAATATGCTGTATATTTTTTTACTACAATAATACTGTACTGTACAGATGTGATGATTAAATAGAGAGCAACCTTAACACCTAAAAACATCAACAGATTACAATAAGTAAATGAAGTGATAACACATAAAGCAATATTTTGACCTAGGAAAGCTATAAATATGAGAGATTGAAATTTCATGTTCAATAAATCCAACATTTAACATACTCCTATTATTATACCTGAAGCTTGTAACATTCTTTCTAAGGCTTTTTGTTATTTGAATAAAAAATTCATTACTGAACATAACATTTTTCTAAATGTTATAACCAATATAAAAACTGCTTATAACCTAAAGAAAAGAATTCTCAAACAAAATATCCTTAAGCTCACAAGTCATATAAAGAAGCTATTCATCAGGTGATGAAAATGTAGGAACAAATGTGTGTACGCTACATGCAGTACAAAAGTATTAACGTAGAATGGAGTGAGGACTTGCTCAGCGCAAGTGGTCTGGCCGCTGATACGTCTGATTGGCAAGACTTTGGTGTATTGGTGGTTGAAAACAGCGAACGTGTTCCACTGGTAAATTATCAGGATCACTTGTTTTCAAATATTTGTTGAGAACAGCAAAGATCTGCGAGTTGAGTACCTGGAACCGTCTGATGCGGTCGCACATCCTCTTCAGTTGCTGCAGATGAAATAAACAATAGCATTTAAAAAAAAAAATCTAATTTGAAAAAATATGCAGAGGCTAAACCATTGTGCTCCTTTAACCTTTTCGGGGGAGGGTCCCGTTGTGCCACGGCTTTGAAGTCAGGGTTGGTCCCATAGTACTACTCCATGAGCTCAGTTCACTAAGATAAGCTGTTAGCAGTAAATTTGGTACTAGATTTGAGAGAATGGGTCTGTGCAGTAACTGTGCACCATATAAAAAAATCCTACAACAGTGTATAATGGGAAAAAAAAGCCTCAGTATTTTAGGTTTACCTTTTCAGGGTTGGTGCCATACTAGTATGGCTTGCACGCCAGGGTTGGTGCCGTACTAGTACGCATAAATTCTAGCGCCTTCAAATCTAGAGAGAGAAAGCTGGTAGGCCTACATATGAAAGAATGGGTCTATGTGGTCAGTGTGCACAGCATAAAAAAATCTTGCAGCACACAGTGCATAATGAGAAAAAAAAAAACTCTGTGTTTTTGCTTTAAAACGGCGACTTTGCAGTGTATTTTCATATGCTATTTGTGGTGGTATTCTAGTTTTCTTGGCCTTATTTTACAGAATGGAAGACATATTACAGAAACTGAGATGATTTTGATTGGTTTCACAACGAAAAGTACCTTGAAATTGAGCTCAAAGTAGCAGAAATGTTCGATTTCTGCCAAAGTTCAAAAGTAAACGAATCATGCCACGCGTCCAATACACATCAACTGGCGAGTCTTATTCTTTCACAAGTGCGCTGATATTATGTATACCATTTTTACACTAATGCAGTAGTCTGTATAACAGTAAATCTTCTATTTTTTTGTGAGAATAAAAATTCAAAGTGGAAAGCAAAAGAAATGTAAGAGAGGCCTAGGGATGTGACTAATGAACAGAAAAAATGTTATTTTAATGCCAGGAATGTCTGTCTTGTTTATTCTGGACCCTATTTGGAAATTGGCATCTTTTGAAATTTGTGTGAAATTGGCAAAATTGTCAATTTCTGACCACTTTATTGGATAGTTGAAATAGGTAAATGGGTGGTTTCTTTTACTCATTCGATAGAAAAATGGAGTTCTAGCAAAATAGTTATGATTTTTGTCGACTGGTACATTGGAATTGGCTGAAAATAGGGTTCAAATTGTGGCGAAATTGCCGATGCATAAATATCGTCAAGACCGCTAACTTCACAAGAGCATAATTCCATAAGTTTTCCATCAAATTTCGTACTTTTGGTGTCATTATGATCAGGAAAACATTCTCTATTATTTCATAAGAAAAATAAATTTTTTTCTCGAAAAATTTCCGACCCTGAGAACAAGTTTAGGAGAGGGCCTGCCGACCCTGAAAGAGTTAAAAAAGCAACTTTGCAGTGTATTTTCACATGGTTTTTGTTGTTGCATTCTCGGTTTCTTGATCACATTCGAAAGAACGGAAGATATATTACAGAAATGATGATGATTCTGATTGGTTTGAGGACTGAAAGTAGCTTGAAATTGAGCTCAAAGTAACACAAATGTTCGATTTTTGCCAATATTTCAGAGTACACAAATTACGTCACTTGTCCAATATTGGTCCATCTGGTCCGTCTAATGCATGTCCACAAATGCACTGACATTATTTATGCAGTTATTACAGTAAAGCAATAGTATGCACAACAGTAAATCTTCTATGTTTTATGCAAATAAATTCAAAGTGGAAAGCAAGCATAATATAGGGGAGGTCTGAGAATGTGACTGATAACAGATGAAATGTTGTTTAAGTACCAGTAATGTCTATATTGCTTATTCAGGATCCTATTTTGAAATTGGCAATTTTTGAATTGTGTGAAATTGGCCAAATTACCAATTTCTGATAATTTTATTGGGTATTTGAAATAGGTAAATGGTTAGTTTCTTGTACTCATTCGACAGAATAGAAGGAATACTAACGAAATACCTATGAGTTTGGTCAGCCGGAACAATGGAATTAGCTTAAAATAGGACTGAAATTGGGCGAAATCACCAATGCATAAATACTGCCAAGACTGCTAACTTTGTGAGAGCGTAATTCCACGAGTTTTCCATCAAATTTTGTACTTTCAGTTCCATTACCTTTGGAAAAAGTTTTTTTTTTTTTTACATTTTTCCAACCCTGAAAGCACATTTCAAATCAGGGGTTCTGACCCTGAAAGGGTTAATATAACAGAAAGAGGCAACAAGATACACACACATCCAAATTATTGCAAACCATTTCTATATACAGCCTTTCTTCACTTAGCAATGAGCTCGTTGACTGGCGACTTGGACTTATGGTGGGCTCTCTGACCAGTATGCATAACTAAATAATGTATATTAGAGCTGATTTCCTTTATTCTGTTTATTACAATATACAGTACAATACTGTATAAACATTTAAAAATACACCTACCATCTGACTTACAACCTGCTCGACATACGACCACTCAACTTACGACCATGTTTTGCATGCAAATGTTCTGGGAAATAAACAACTGTTTGTGTTTTACACAGTATTTCTCCTAAACCTTACAGTATAAAATACAGTACTAACAGCATAAAGAGTAAAGTAAAAAATGAAAAACCAAAATAAAACAATAAAATAAAATCTTTACTTAATGTGATGCTGATATTCAGTAGTAAGGTTCGACTTATGTCGATATTGACTTATGACCAGTTAGTCGGAACCAAGCTTGGTCGTAAGTCGGATGGTAGGTGTATAATAAAAAAATTATAAATGGTGCAAAGGTGACATTAAAACAATATCAAAGATGGTTGACACAAACCCACTACCATTACAGTTTGCTCCTTGCTTTGCAACGAATTCGTTGACCAGCGTGGTCTTTGGAATGAAATTCCGTCGTTAAGTGAGGAGAGGCTGTATTCACTTTATGTCCCCATATGTAATAGGTACTGTCATCCCTCACCTCACCTCCTACATACTGTACATTCTTACTTTTTACTCCCTCCTGCCAACTAATGTAAAATGTTCCTGAAACTACTCTTCTAAAAAACAAAGCTTGAAATCTAGATTCTGCTGCCTCTATCCATGTCAGAATTATCTTTTCTTCACAGTATATCTTTCTTCATGCTGAGTATTTTTTTTAAACACGTTGGCCATCTCCCACCGAGGCGGGTGACCCAGAAAAGCAAGAAACTTTCACAATCATTCAACAGTTTCATCATTCTCACAATATCATGTTTATTTCTTAAGAATAAACTCTCCCAGAGAATCTCCTTTCTCCCACACACTGCTTTCTCCTTTATTTCTCCCAGCATAGAGCTACATTTGCATAATACTATCCTCCCAAAATGTATATTTATCTTCCACCACCAATATGTCACTATCCATCACAATCTTACACTGCCATGCTGATGCTGATCTGCTGCTTTGCTTTCCTTACCTTCCTTTACACACAACTTCACATGAACAAAAATCCTCTTTTGCCAGCCACATATTCTAGAAAGAAAATATTAATACATTCCGGTACTT